GGGACCAGGTAAGTCGGGGCTGTCAGGCTCCTGCGCCGGCTGGGGCGCAAGGGTGAGCCACCTGCCTGGGAAACTTTACGCGCCGCTTCGGAGCCTTCTTAGCCCCAAAGTTTGTTGGCTAGGAAATGCACCTGACAGAGCGAGACGACCAGATGCTTTTCCCAGCCATTCACTGAGGGGAGATTGTTTTCCTCCGTCTGGGTTGAGGATTGGTTCGGAACGCAAAGGGTCCGCTTCCCCGGTGTGAGTGATGGGAGATGCTTGGTAAGTCCCTCTGGCTTTCCGTTCGCATAGCGGATTTGGACAGTGAAAGTTGAAAAATAAAAAAAAAGTTGTTCACTGTAGGGGCGCCGAGGAAGAATCCAGTGTGCACGGAGAATGGGTGAGAATGCGATACCTTTCTGCCACAAGCTCTGCAGACTCTTAGGTCTAAGGAAGCCAGAGTTGGAGGATTCTTCCATTACCAATCAAGTTTGCCCAGGCTGCACTTTCTTTCCACTCACAACACATCTGAGGCCTTAAATGGAACACCCTTTCGCGTTTATTTCGCACGTTTCCTCTGAGTTCAGGTTTCTTGGGGTTTGACCCGAGAGTGTGCTTCTGTGCTCCCCAAGGCGTCCTGCGAAGCTCGCCAAGCAGGTAACAGAATAGCAGAAACGAAAAACCAGAAAGTGCCGACCAGGCACCCGAGTCACAGCCCTATCAGGATGGTGGTGGTGGTGGGGGCGTCTGAAATGAAGGAACAGCTTCTGGGCTCCGTGGAAAGCTCCTCACCGCTCACCAATCCCGTATGCCCTTCCCTGGATGGCATTTCCTTATTGATTTAGACCCAGGCGATGCGCTCAGAGGAATGATTTAATAACAAACGTTGCAGGCTATAGTGAGAGCCAAAGGGAGGGAAACAAATAGAGCTCTGGGAAGGGGTAACCAGCCCTTTAACCTTAACCCAAACTGTGAGGAAACAGCTAACAGCTAGAGAAAGCAATAGGTGGAGACGTGTGGTGTGCAGTAGGGTGGCCAGAAACCCTCGCTCGCATAGTGGGGAGGTAAATCCGGAAATATTCTAAATGATTAAGCAGGAATAACTTGACTCCTATGTGCTATGGTTTCTGTCTACCCCCACAGAGATGAATATCACAGTAGCTGAGAAAGAGTCTTGATCTGTAAATAGATTAAAAACAGGAATTAATCAGAACAATGAGTCAGAGCCCATCAGAGATTGAAAGGAAGTAATTGCCTTTGAAAGAGCTCTTATATCTCAACATCAGTTAAATGTGTTACTTTTGCTTTTCTGTGTTTACTAACACTAACCTGACTTTGGCCTGGCACCTAGTTTGTGGTTTTAACACTGTGTGGATCGTGGTACTGGGGGGAGGTTGTCTGCAGGTTGATGTTCACATCCCATTGTAGAACATTTGTAAGATGCCCCTTGTAAGCAAGTCACTATTTGCAGCAGGACAGGTTCTCGGAGATGTTGTTCATGAAAGGCATCTGATAGGGTCCAGCCTTGTTAAGTGATGTTTGCATGGAAGTATGAGTACAGCCAGGCTTTAGGGTAGTGGCCTGAAGTCAGTTGAGAGCCAGTATGTGCTTTGAAGACCCCCAAAAGAGTCGGTATCCTCCAGACAAATAGAGCAAATTGCTGCATACTTTTATTAGATGAGTGCTGAGGTTGAATGCAAAGAAGTGGCCCTTGTGTCTCAAGGTGGGCTGAATCACTGAGAGACTAACTGATTTGCTGGGTAATAGATTGAAGCAGTGGACGCCTCCTGACAGTAGCATTCAGCACCATGTCCTTCTCACTGTCTGGATGTCTTTAATGTCAGCGTGAAGACATGGAGTCTTGAGTTCATTGCTCCAGAATAACTGTAACTTTTAAACATCCTTCACAACCAGTCTGGATAGCCTAAGTGTTTCTTAAAATGGCAACAAAATATTTAATAGCACCAAAGTGCTGAGCAGTTTCAAGCAGAGCAAAGATTAGCTGTGGACAACAAGCTGTAGCCTTTCAGTTGCTGATTTATGTTCAATTTTATCACTGTCACATTTCATATATGCCTAGTTATTACAAACTAATAGCCTCTTCGCTCTACTAGCAAAATATGCATCTTTTTCTTTTATAAGTGCCTGACTCCTTCTCATTCATTCAGTACACATCTAGCTTTGTTTTTACTGCATAATTTAAGTGTCCAACTTGAAGTTCTCATTAACTTCGAATGTTTTGTGCTGGAAGAGTATATAGATACAATTGCCCCTTCGAAATGCTACATCTATATATCACTTTATTGTAACAGTGTCACAACATAGAGATACTATGACTGGTGCCACTTCTGTGCTCTCCAATTACCATTTAGTAGTAGTGAGCACTATAGTTGTGTTAATTTCATACAATGGGTGATACTCACATGAAGGGTTTATTGATGCTGTACATATTTGCTTGATGTCTCTGATTTAGTTATCATTGAGTCTACCTTTAAGCCTTCTTATCTTAGCTATTACTTTATTTCTTTGAAGGTAAGCATCTCTAAGGTGCTAGCCTATGGTTTTTAATATGCATACCTGCAAATGCGTATTATTTTAATTTGCATGTATATATTATTTTCATTTAATGCAGATGGACTGTTTCTCTTCTAATGCTTGATAATAGTACAGTAGATAATATCCTTGTTGCAAAGATTTTTGGCAGTAGTAATGACTATGGACTTACAAGACTGTTTCAGTTAGGAATTCTTTGAAATTGAGAGGTGACCATTCTTATTCTCAGATCTAATTTGTATAAAATTTTCATAGACAGATCACTGGGGCTAAGTGGCTTTGGTTTGTAATTGTCCATCACCCCCAGTCCTCCCATCTTCCAAACACAGTGGAATGTTTCTTTGGAAAATTTGATGCAGTAGAAATGCACTCACTGGTTGAAACTTTGTATGCCAAGTTTCAATCCATAGTATGTTTTTATTTTCCTGCTTTTATGTACATGTTATAAACAAGAAATAAGGGTTTGTAATAGAAGTGCTGGCAGAACTTTATAGCATTTCAAACAGCTCTGCTGCTTGGAATGTAAATATTTGTAGCATCTTTACTGTGCAAGAGGCTGCCTTGCAAAGAGTGAGGGAAAATTACAATTTTATTAAGTAGGATAAGATAATTCAGACAGTATGCATATTCCTCATCGGAGACATATTGGCATTTGAAGAAATAGATTATCTATGTTACGGAAATTCCACAAAACTCTCTTAGGTGCCTTTATAACACATATTGTAAATTTTCCATTTTCTAAAGCCAGAGAACAATTTTATCCTGTTTGTTTTCTAAGTTGCTTGGCTTTGTTTTGCTTTCTGATGTTAAGACACGCGATCCATAACTCAAAACCCACTTTGATTATGTTACTGATAAAGGAGTCTGCCAATATATTATTTTAATTGTATAAAGAATTCTCGGGGTATCGCAATACTTCAAACACTCTTCCTTTAGAGAACCAGAACGACTCAGATCTCATGTGTCCTTTGATTCTACTGTGAAAGACTTCTCGCCTTTACCCACCATCTTCACTCGTATCACCCTTTTCCAAGTCCCATTATCTGTATTGGGCCCTCTGCACTGTTTTCCTTTTCTTCTTTTGCAATTCTTTCCCCAGATCATTCTGCCCAGCCGGCCCATTTTTTCCCCAAAATGTAAGCTAAATGAGCACCCCTCTACTAAGAATACTTTAATGGCTTTCTGTTGCACTTAGAATAAAATCCAAATTATTAGATATTACCTACAAAGCTTTGTGGGATTTAAAGACTATTCCTTCAATACCTCATATCATGCTTTTGGGAGAGCTTTGTGGACTTGCTTTCAGTTCAGCAGTTTTGTTTAGCTCTTTCCTACTTTAGAGATGGCGTTGTCCACGTGCATGGTAGCCTTTTGTAGCAATTATTGCTAAACACACACACACACACACACACACACACACACAGTTTTTCACTCTTGCTCATCCCTTGGATCACACTTTATATACTATTTACACAGAGGAGTCTTGTTGGCTGTTTGATTTCTTTCCTCCTCCCTGTAGGACACCTCTCCTATGCTCTTGCGGTTTATTTCCTTCATAGCATTTCTTATCACTTGGTTGGAACTGGCCATTTCCTTAGCTGATTTTTCCTGTAAGTTTTACTCACTGTTATCCTGCAGCTCTCATCAGAGTGCCTGACTCACACTGGACTTCAATAAACCCATGAGAACTAAGCTTTTGGGGATGCTGAGTTTGCAGCCTATGCCCATAGTACCCTGTGATTAAGAGTGTTTCAAGAAGGTCCATATTCATAAGTTTCCTGCTGACCTTTACAGTGTTTTTCTGTCATATTGTGACATCTGAGTTCTCTGGGACATCTGCTACTTCAACCCTATTGTGTCCAGTAGATTCATCATTTCAGGTTGCCTTAAGTGTAAATGATGTCTTTTTCCCTCACACTCATCATAGCCATTTAGGAAAGTGGCTTCAGTGGTCTGTGACTCTGTCTTCTCCCTTTGTCTTTGCAACCAGTCACGGGATTAACAACGTGGAACATTCATGAAGGTTATCATGTGCCATGCCAGAGT